AGAAGGATTGAACTCATGGAGGACGCATGTTTCACTAAAAAAAATGTTTGATTATGACACTCTTGCAGCAAATGGGCGATATTTCAAAAATCGTTTCTATTTTCCACCTTTTGATAACTTTTTAAGTATTCTATTTATTTCAGAATACCCTCCGCCAACCATCCGCAATGTCAACCAAACTATTTTCATCACAGTCCATGCCATCATCCTCCGCTAATTCAACTTCAAGAAATACGATGATGCGTGAGAAGACAGACAGCTACAAAAGTTACTACGAAACGAATTTATAGATGTCAATTGCCAATAATGCGAAAACTACATCAGTACATATTTTTACGTATAATTTTTTAAATAAAACTTTATTGTGAATACATGTGTTAACGTTCAACATATCTACATGCATATGTATTGCTTTATTTTAGCTGAAGAAAGTAACTTAAAGACAAAAATTGTTTTTGTTGAAATTAAGTGCCTTTTAGTAATTAATGCTAAACTAAGAGCATACTTTTGTTAGAAATGCCAAGCGCAAACGTTCCATAGTTAAATTAAGGATTAATGAACACATACAAGTTTATAACCTATCTCTTTTGTTGGTTTTGCAAGTCTTTATTGTGCGCTAGCGGTTGTAATCAAAAGTTTTCATTATAAAAATAATTTAACTTTACAGCTTCACCAACAGCAATATATGTATGTATAAACATATACGAATCCAGTAAAATCGCGTATATCACAAAAGTACGGGTTTAATTGACGGATATTCACTCTTGTTTTAGCATACAAAAACAACTACACGAATCCATACATACATACATATTTATGTACTTTTCCATGAGTGAAGAAGCTTGACCTAACAAAGACTTTTTGGTATTAAAATCTCAATATGTACTTAACGCCGATTTTACGTTTCCTTAAGAATGTGTGCATGCACACATATGCACAAATGTAGGTATGTATGTACCAATAATATTTATTTTTTTAAATTTATTTACTTTTGTATGTATGTATGTATTTATGTACATATAGTATATGTATGTATATATACATATATGTAACTTTTGTATCGTAAAGTATTAAAACGTGATAGTTACAAACTTATATAGGCATTAAGTAATTTGTCTTTAGAAAAATGTTAATTATATGTATTTACGAAAACATGCTTATGTAAAAATAAATATTTAAGAATTTTCAATAAAAAATTTTAATAAAATCAATGCATAACTATTATATGCAAAAAAAAATATTGAGTAAACAGAGGAAGATTTTAGAGCTTAACCATGGTTGTACAACACACTGGCAATTTTATGAATTTATGGAAATTTCTGAAACTTCACAAATTATAGATATCACGTCCTATCGCTGGGAAATGCCGGCTCGTCTGTAGTACCTGTATCCGGCTTTTCGATGTAACTAACGTCGAGGAGACAAAATTTGGCACGACACATAGGACATGTACATTTCTGTTCAAGCCACACCTCCCGATCATGTTCATTCTGGCGCGCAGCAAACCAACGCGCTAAACACTCAACACACCACATGGGTCGGCAATAACAATTTGAACAGGTGTTCTCTGTAGCCAGAGGTCGTCCGTACCGATCAACATCTTCACATTGTTTATGTATTTTGATATTCGGCTCAGCGATCATACAAGCGAAGCATTTTTCTGCTATGCGATCTGCTTGGTAAATTGGGTTCTGTGCTACTTGCTCTTTGAACACATCAATAAAGCGGTCGATTACATTACGATGGAATTGTATATATGATGGTATTACAATAGGCCTGGAAACGCGCTCTTCCAAGTTGCGAAATTCCAATGCATTGATACGTATATGAAAGTCAGCAACTCCTTGACGATTTGGCTTCACTACTATGCTTACCATTTGCAGCGTATCGTTAGTATCCTGAGAAACGTTGTAGGTCTCGGTCTAAAATGAAGTATGCAGAGTGTATTTTGATAATTGACTCAACAAGTATGTATTATAAAAATTATTAATTATAGTAGTAGCGTTTAATGCTTGTGCAGATATACATACATACTATTCTGATTTGAATGCAATGGAATAGGAGAATGACAATGGACATGGTATATGTGTTAATTTAATAGCTAATAAGAATCGAAAAGAAACAATGCCGATTCAATATTTCTGCTTTCTTTCAATGGGCAACGATTCCTTGAGGGTATATCATTCCAGCACCTTTAAATATTTTATGATATACATACATTAATACTAATAAATGTGAGTTTTATGAGCCCATGGGTACAGCAGCCACTTATCTTACTTATTTAGAAATCAAAAAAGGTGCTCACCTTGGCTACACTGAGGGAAGTATCGCTTTGGTGTGCAAAATGCACGTTGTACAGCGTAGTTTTGATAATCCAGTTCTCGGTAGCAATCACAGTCGATATCGAATTCAGCTTCTTTTTGTAAATGTCGAGGCTGTTAACGAAAACTGATTATTAAATACGTATTTCCATATTTACAGCCAGAACCTTCTTTATAAAAAACAAAAAACATGTAATACTTGCCGTCGGAACTCTGTGCTAATGTCGTTCGCAACTGATTGGAAACTGTTTGGCACATTGGAATACTTCAATAGGGTCTGACTAATGGGATGACGGCGCCAATTTTGTTGATACCAATTAAACACTAAAGCTGGCACTGCCAGCACGGCCATTAAACTGAAGCGTTGTGCTATCTTCCAAGTGAGCGTCTTAAATGCTACCGCTTCTTGAGGCATAGGGAAATCTGGATCTAAATCCGCTTCCTCTGGTGGTTCACGTTCCGCAAATACGGAGAACTTTAACTTGTGTATAAGGAAATAAAATGCCGGTAGACAACTGTGCACAAATAAATTTAGTGATGTTCGTCGATGATGATAAAGTATGAAATTCATGCTCTCATCGCCTAACAATTTATTGAAGACTTGTTCGATGGTAAGTCCAAGGCGCTGAAACTCTTCGGGTGGGTAGATAATGCACATGCATAATAAAAGGTAGAACAAATTGAAGAGCAGTTCAGACTCGTCCATTTGGTGAAAAATTTTGAGAAATTTGAATGAAGCGTTATCAAATGTATTTTAACTCCAAAGATGATACCGTTTTTACCAATTTTATTTTAGTTATCGCTTTCTGTATATTTCTATTCTTTTGGCAAGATGCGTCAGTGCTGTCGCTCTTCTCACTTTTCTTTTATCTTTCTTCATAACAAATGGACGTTCTCTGCAAATGGTTGCATTTTCACGACTAGAAGGCAGTGATCGGATGTCCAATTTGGTGTGGTAGAATCTGGAAAAAATGTAGTAGATTTTAAACAAATATAGTCGATCTCAGGTTTTGGATCAAACTTTGTACAACAATTAAAAAAAAAAAACTACAAGGTTTCACCTCAATTGCAAACTTTTTAATTAGAATCTAAAAAAAAAAATATTTTAGTATAATAAAGTGCAAAACTGAAGTTGCTAAAAATTGCGTTTAGTTTTGGAATTTTTTTTTTCTTTTTTTCCTTCCATATCAAGATATTTTTTGAACTTATTTTGAAAGATTTCTGCAACCTTACGGTCTGATTGTGAATAATTCGCATAACTTCGCACAACATCGCATAAACTTCAAACTGTAATTTCGTATGTACTTTGTACTTTGCTTCAAATTTTCTTAAGTTACATTTTTATTGCACTGACACAAATGGTTGTGCGAAGTTATGCGAAGTATGCATAATCAGACCTTTACGGAGTACTGCCAGCTTTTCTTTTTATCACATCACGATGTAGCGAGCAAATGTGGCACGTTCCAGAAACCGCTACTTGGGGTTTGCCGATTTGGACAATTCTCAAGTAAAAGTAAACAACGTTTTAGAAACTTAAGATGCACTGAAATTTGCTACTTTTACAAAAATCGCCGTTTTTTTAATTTTCGCTGTTAATTCTTTTTTATAAACCATATATTTTGCAATTTAACAGAATAAAACCACGTTTCCTGTTGAAAAATTGAATATTGAGAAAATTTACTATTTTACGGTTTATTTCATTCTCCCATTCTGCCTGTTGTTAGTGTTAAGTGTTGGACAATTTTTGCTCTGAACATTAAAAATATTGTGGCGAATACTGCGGCAACACAAAGCGAACAACGAGAAATAGGCA